TGACGGATGGGTTCCGATGCATCGCATTGAACAGTGCCACGTTGGGCAGCACTCCGGGATAATACATCTTCGGGGGTCGAACCAGGATATCACGGAAGAGACCCGCGAAGCCATATCCGATCATTTGAGAGGCCAGCAAGAAGAACATAGACCACCCAGCGTTGAGCTTTTCGCCGTAATAGAGTTCGATGGCAGACAAGGGGCCCATTCCGATAGCCGTGTAGCACTGTTCTTGTCAGCTTGACAAGCGCACTATCAGCGTGAAGGAAAGTCACTCACACTACCCCAGTAGGCCACAACAATAAGTGCATGCTCCTTAGCGTTCCAGGGACCTGGGTTCATCGACCATTTCCATCCAAAGAAGCTGAATTGCCTTGTGGGTAAATATCGAGCCATGGCATCACCCATGCCCCAGGATAGCAATTGGACGGCATAACTGGTGATTGTGTTGTAGTACGGCTTGAAGAAGTAAAAGGTAGAAAGTGCGCAGCCGACAAGGACCCAGAAGGTAGATAGAACCCAGAATCGGAAGGTTAGGATCGGTTCACTGCATAACTTGGATATCAGCGATGCGATCAAATCTGAAAATAGAACGAGAAGCTCACGTCGGGTCATTGCGAAGATCTACCGTCTTAGCTACCAAAGGCATGGGATAGTCCTTCAGGCGGGGATCGATGAACTCGTCACTATCTTCGGGGACAATACCCTCCCCGATGGGAACATCTTTAATATTCCCCTTGAAGTCCGCCTCAGAGACGAAGCCCGGGGCGACTTCCACATCGTGGATGTCCACAGACTTCTTGACCAGCAAGTCATCTTTCTTTTCATTCACCTCCACCGTGGGGGTGGAAACGGGACTGTCGGTTACCTCGTCCGCCATGCCAGTCTTGGATTAAGAACGAGACGATCGCAATGTTTGAAAAGAACCGTTGTATTGAATCTGTGACTTGGTGTGGCCTTATATATATCGTCCGCTGTGCTAAAGCGCCATATCAAGCACTCGTACACCCCGTTATCTGGAGGCAAGACGGCTAGAAACCGGATTACCGGATACGGGTCTATGTGCTCGAAGAGGATGATAACGACTTGCTAGCCACTGGTTCCAATGAGAACGGACTCTGTTCATTTCGCTAGTGAAAGTACTGGCTGGACTACACCATATGCGACGGCCAAGTGCAGTTCCCCGCTTCGCCGATGATAAATGAAATGTCCGGCTTTGCCCGTAATGTCCAATCGCGTGAACCGCTATGTAAATGGCTAATGCCATGATGCCTCTAGTTCGCCATCATCGAAGGACATTGCGAACGATGTGCCGGGAATCCGGTCTCCAGATGCGCTACGATTGTATTATGGGTGATAGCGACGTTGTGGCAGGATTAAATGAAGCCTATACAGATGCTAGTGCGCCAATTTCAAAATGCAATTGGCTTCTCGCGGTTTGTCTTTCAATAGTAGTTGGCGAAAAAGACCCATTGCGATACATCAGGGAGATGGATGAGATATGGGGATAATCTGATTGGCGGTGTCACACGTGGCCAAACAGTATTCCCGAAGCGAGTCTGATAACCATCTGCGGGGGGATAAGTCCATGAAAGGCACGGCCGCTCACTGTCTTAAGAAATCACCAATCATCTTGGGAAGGCGTACACCACTAACAGGTATCTTATCGCGATGGTAATTGATTTGTACTCCACGACGGCATAGTATTCGCGCTGTTCGAATTTGGTGACTTGTAAGTGGTTGTTTTCGACTTCGACTCTATCAGGCCGATGAGGAGGTGGCACAAGAAGTCCACCGTGCGTCGGAGCTCCAACGCATCTCCGAAGCATTGACCCGGGCGAGCACAGCACCCCTATGTACAGCGCATATACTTTAGGAATAAGTCTTGGACTAAGTGCTCGAGGAGGTCGGGACAGGCCTGAGAATAGGATGTCACACCATCGTAAACAAATCATCGTGGGCAGATTTCGCCATGGATTCTAGACTCAGGAGGTCGGGTGCTTGGGAGTGCATTGGACCAGCCAATGATTAAATGCACCACACCGAATACTTCGAATGAGGCACGCACCCGTAGAGATAAGCACCCAGTGTAATCTTCGGTTCCCCACGGCCTGCGTGATTTAGTTCACCAGCTGGTGGAATCTACTTTGTGTGACTGGGTGCAGCCTACCATGGGGTGGCATTGAGACCCTTATCATTGATGACTTTTTGTAAAGGAAAAATATTTGGGGCCCAAAACAGGCTTGAATTTGACGTCTCAGTGGCGAAGGTTCAACAACGAGTATATTTGTCCGACTAGGCGGTACTTGACCAGTGATAGTCACAGCATCGCCATAGCGTTGCAAGATGCCATCAGCAACTCACTATCGGGTGATCGTAGACAAGCTTTCTGGTGTGATGTGTAGCTGGCCCATCCCGGGCTGCTGACCTCTAATCAGCGTCGTTTCTCCCAACCCCTCTTCTGTGCATGTGGCACAGAACACCGAGTGGCATTGTATCAGCTAGTCGAGTGGGACTCGTGGGGGTGTATGTCCGTGGCATTGCTTGTTTCCTTGGATGTGCTCATAAATTCGGTGGCCAGAATCAACCTGCATAAATTAACTACGTGCATATTCAGAAATTGAGTTGCCTGCTTATGCGCATTGGTCTTTGAAAAATTATCTTGGATTCACTTATTCCAGAAAGAGGTTGGAGGGGCGCCCCTGCAGACAAAATGACTTTTGCGAGATCTTGGATGGGTGAGAGTTGGAGTGTCTAAGCATCTTACCTGCTGTATGTGGGGATCACATGACCCTCTTGTCTGTATTACATTGATCTCCCACCGTCTCTCAAAGAGGAAATCGCATTGACTCCCCTTCATACTCATGACTATCCAGCTAGGCTATCGATTAGTGCACTACCTCCAGAGACATTGACAGAGCCAGTACCATCGTCACCTTAGACATAGATAGTACCACACTAATGAGTCAATATTAGAGGCTCAACATGAACGCACTACGCCTCACCGGTGGAGAATTAATATGCTTCGCATAGAGAAGAGGGCGGGGAAAGCTTGGTATTTGCTTAGCTTCCGCGAGTATCCTTATCTCGCCATATCCACTGTTCCTTGCATCAGCCTTACGACACCCCGGGAGAGGAATTATCGTTCGCAGTGTTCTTGCTGATAGTCTAGGCAATCATGCAATCAATTAATAACTCTATTACCTAAAGAACGCCCCCGGGAAGGGAAGATAAAAGTGCATCCCAATGGGTGGTTATCATGGCCTTCGAGACATGGTCGGTGTGGATCTGAGGTATGTGAGCACGGTGACGATGTATTTACTTGATATATCGAGAGACTGAACCAGATCATATGGAAAGATAGTAGTAATGTTACAGGGGTGTTAAAGTGATGACCATAGCCGGCTAAAGCCATTGTATATTTTCATATAGCTAGTTCGGATATCTTTGGCATTTTGTTATTTATCCACCAATGTGGCCATTATAAGAATAAGGATTGCAAGCTCTATGCATAGACGACCTATCACCTTTCTATCCGAACCGTGTTATGGATCATTTGCGATTAACAATCTCTTTAACCGTATCACCAAACCCTACCATACAGATCGTAGCCCACGCCGCAACCCCAATGCGAGGTACCACACCGCGAAACAGACCCTTGACTCCGGTCGTCGCAAGGATATACTTGAATGTGGACAGGATCGTCGGAGAAGTTGGCCGGGCGGGATCATTCTTCATAGATTGCATTTCCACGCGCAACACCTGTAGAGTCAGCAATCGGAAGTCCTTATTTCACACATCTCAGCGACACCTACTTCGAATGGCTGGTTCCAGCAGCTCAGCGCACCACCAATAGTGGATGCCAGGATTTTCTCTCCAAATTTGAGTTTTTCGTCCTTCGGCTTTCCGTTGACTTTTCGGATGCTTTCTTCCGCAAACCGCGATATACCAATCCGAGAAGACCAGCCTGTAACCTGTCGTAGCGCGACGGCGTTAACGCCTTTGTTCACTCCACGAATTCCGTTCTCGCGAATAATCTGAAAGAACATTTCCAGAGCCCCGGGCACTCGGGCACCTCCAACACTCATCTTTGAGCGGGTCACTTCAACTGTTTTCATGCATGTCGTCATGCCCATCGTGAGATACGATTGCGCAACGCCACCGCCAATGCCACCCAGAACACCACAGACCGTAGGTGATGCATTGAACTTTGATCTGGCATGATACTCAATTTCACTTGATGTTACTATCAGAATGGCGCCTTTGGTGGAGGCTTCTAGCCAAGCCTGTGGCAATTAGTATGAAATGTGCCTAGGCGAGGGGGCTAGATGAAAGAGATACGTACCCAAGGTATCAGCCCTTGATAAAAAGCAAGAAATTTTCCGCGGGACCAAGTCTTTTGTAATGCATCCCGCAATGTGTCTTGCCGGTTTGCTGCCAACTGGAAGGGTAAGTCGTCAGGATTAACTCCAATTAATATGGATGAGAGTCAAGCATACATGGGTTTTGATTACTTCTAGCGGCTGTCCAAGAGACGTAACTGCGTAAAGTTAGAAAGGTTCCTGGCAAGTAGAGTTTCTCATTACCTTGAAAGATGTTCATTAACGCGCCGACGGCCAAGTTCCGATAGGGTATGGGGCGCTTTTGCTCGGCATTGCCTTGCAAAGTCGGGGTATTCGTAGCTACTGCTTGTGACATGTCTCAAATGTTATTCCTCCAATTAAGAGAATATTTTGTCGAATCAATTGCTGCAATTAAAGCTCTAATGATTGACCGACCGTCGTGATGCTCGTCGGATGCATCCGATGCGCACCTCGGATGTATCGGCTTTCCCGAAGAGGGGTGCCGCCGGGATCAACTACATACCATTGATGCCAAGGAAGGGGATGCGTAGGAAGTGTAGCGTTGAGGAGCAGTAATGTGAGATGTTATTAGCAAAGCTCGATCTTCTGCGTGGATGTCTACCACAATTCATGGTTTACCAACGGGCTACCTACACAATGCTGTCACAAGCTCTAGCCATCCATGGAAGGCGCTCCAATACACCGTAGGTACATCCGGAAAATGCAGCCGTTGAAGCTAATCCATCAAGTTTCCTTCTCTCAACGGAGTCATTCGATACACATGTCCATGTATTCGATCCCAAGCTAGGCCCATATGCTGCAGGGAGAGCATATACCCCCGAGGATGCACCGCTGCAAAAGTTACTGGCGTTGAATCAGAGCCTAGCAAGGGATTACAACAATACTACTCTTGTCTTGGTTCAGCCATCGCCTTACAAGAACGACTGCACGGTTATGATGCATTGCCTGCGAGAATTGAGGGATAGAGGCATCAGATCGTTTGGAATCGCAGTGTTAGATATCGACACTATTACCGATGCGCAACTGAACGAAATGCACGCCCTTGGAGTGCGAGGTATTCGACTCAACTTCCAAGCCGATGGGAAAGATGTCGACATTACACATTTGATAAGCCTTTTGAACCGTACTGCAGACCGCATACGCTATCTTCCCAGCTGGGCGATTCAGTTGTTCGTTCCAGGATGGACATGGGACCGTGAGTACTTATATTTTAAAGACATTGTATAACAGCTATAGTGACTGATATGCTATAGTTCTGCATGATGCTGTTCGTGAGCTCCCCGTAAAGGTTATTGCAGACCATCTAGGTGGCTTGCGTGGCACATCCAAGCTACCTTCGGAGTTACAATCGACGCCAACGTCCCAACCGGGATTCCGCTCCCTCTTGTCATTAGCAAGGCAATCGATGGTCTACGTAAAGGTTTCCGGTTTATATCGTATGTCAGATCACTCAGCCTCGACCTTTGATGACCTGCAGCCTATCGTGCAGGCAATGGCGAGAGAAATTCCTGATCAGGTTATTTGGGGAAGCGATTGGCCACACACGGGCGATGGACACAACCGGGTAAAAAGGTCAATAGAAAGCAAAGAACCATTTAGGATGATCGACAGCCATGCAATTCTCCAAAGATTGCATGACTGGATGGGAGATGATGCCTACTGGAAGATGATGGTGGATAACCCGGGCCGACTGTATATTGATTGAGCATTTACTTTTGTTACACAAGCGCGTCACTGAGCAGAGACCATCAAACTCAGGCAGCACATGAGTTTCTGGGAGAATTTGACTATCCTATGAGTGCAGCCACTCAACACGAACATCAGTAAATGAAGGCCTTACGCAGAGTATAAATAGACGGCTTAGTAATAAGATGCCAAGCCCGAGGCTCTTCGTTCTAGAAACAGAGACGAACTGCAATTTCCATCCTGCGCATAAGCCTCATTGTATCCTCAACAGCTACACTACTGTACGCTGAAGTGCCATAGAAGCTATGGATTCGATGAGTGAAAGTTCATCGGGCTCAACCCCTCGTCGTCATCGTCGAGGTTTACCTCGAAGTGTGGCGGCATGCCAACGGTGTCGACGACGCAAGCAAAAGGTCAGTGACATACCATAAAGTCAAAATATCAGTCACTAAAGCAGTCAGTGTGATGGAAGAATGCCAACTTGCGGCTCATGTGCTGCTGCTGAAACGACATGCGTCATGTCGGATAGATTAGTGATCCGTCACCCATCTCTGAATTGTGATTGTGATGCCCTACGGGCCCAACTTGCTGCTGCTGAGCGACGAAGTAATGAGCTGTCTGAAAGGTGTCAGCAGCTAGAGACCCGTTTGCTCGAGGCTCTCAGTTCTGTTCGATCTAATGACTGGGATCCCAAGTTCCAATCCTCCGTTACCTGGGCATAATTCTGCCGAGGCTATATCTCAGTCTGACCAACTGAAAGGGAATCCAGATTGTCGCTTCCTTAGTCGGATACTGAGACCAACCTTCTCACTGCAATTTAGCTCCAGAAGGGAGAACCGCAGTGCTATGAGCAGCGCTTGGGAGCTATGGGGTGATGTCACAGATATCGAAGTTTCTGAAGCAGATGGTTTAAGTCTCGACAATGACACGTACATTAATCTGGCTGGCGCGTTTTTCGATAGGAGATGGCCATATTTACCAGTATTACATCGGCATACATTCGCCAACCAACACTTGACAGCCTTTCTGACGAAGTCTGAGATGAGGCCATTGACCAGTTTCATGGTTAACATCGTCTGTGCCATTGCGTCAACAGAGAAGTCATCACCCCAAACTCGCGACAAGACCCATCGGGTATTTTTCAAAGAAGCCATAAAAGACCTGGACCTGGTTTTGAGCGGCGAGAATATCCAATGTGTTCAGTGTCTTCTTCTACTGTGCATGTATGGCCATAATGAACCCCAGTCAGTCAATATGTGGTTCACAACCGCTATGGCCCTTAATTTAGCCATCGGCCTTGACCTTTACCGCAAGGAGAGCATTTCTGGGAAAGACATCATGGATACAGAGATGTCTAAACGTGTATTCTGGTGCGCGTACGTGATTAATTGCAGTGTGGCTATCAACATGGGCCGACCCTTGGGAATCCAAGAGTCAGATATCAGCATGCCCTTGCCTATGCAGCTGACGGATGCTCAGCTCATTGAATCTATCCAGAGCCCCAATGTCGAGGAGTCAGTGATACCGCATGTGGCTGACACGTCAACATTTGTCCACATTATTAAGCTTCGTCGTATCAACGCAGGTGTTTACAAGACATTTCATTCCATCGGTTCTGTCCTGTCCCAACTGATCCTGCTGACCTGGACCGGCTTCGCAGTGGATAATTTCTGGAGCTGACTCAGTGGATAATAACAGCGCCACGCTATATGCAAACTTTATCTACTTTCCAGTCCACTGAGTGGTTCCAGATTGCTTTCCATCACGCTGTTCTTTCACTTTACCGTCCATCACGTGCGGTCCCAATGCCATCGTCAGATGATCTGCGGACCTGCACTGAGTCTGCCATTGGTCTGATAAGCTCATATAGCGCATTGTACGCGCGGAACCGCATCAAATATACGTTCATCGCAATTCACTCGTTGTTCTTGGCAGCCGTGACAATGCTGTATTCTCTGAGAGCGTTTGCACCCCTGCGACAAGAATTGACCAAGCCGATGATTCAAACGAATATATCTACATTTCTTACACTCTTCCGGGGTATTTGCGATGGACGTGCGGTGGGAGAAAAATGTTGCAGGATTGTTGAGCGGCTTGGCCAGTCGATTATGTCCTTATTTGAACATCGAAATCAGACAGACTTGAGTATTGATACCGAGTTCCAAACCTGGTTTGGACTTAGGGCACACACGTTTCCCTCTAAGGCTAGCAACCCAGCCTCAGATGCCTATGCTCATGACTCACCGTCACGTCTTCCTGACGTTCAAATGGACCTCCCATGGGCTGACCTATTCATGGAGGGAGTAGATATGAGCACGGCAGATGTTTGGAGCGTTCTGTTCTAATGTTTCTACGGAGAGTGGGGAGTGATGTCGAGCTAATTGAAATGCATCAAGGTGGCGCTGGGGGTGGTTTTCATTCACCACTTGCCCGTCGGCTTCTATATTAACCGGACTGGATTGGAAAGAGGTCTCAGATCCACAACCAGGATCAATCGATCAATCGTGCGGCAAGATCTAATCATGACAGTTTTCTGCTTCAGGCCCAATAAGATTTGTCGCCGTCTAAATACCTTGGGTCAACGGCTTAGGCCCGACGCAGCAGATGAGATGTTGCCGATGCTAGTCAGGCTAGCTGGTTCTGTAATGTGCATCCTGCATTCAAGCTGTCCACGTAAAACGTATTTCTCATGCTAGGTACTAGGTATACCTGTGTCTCTTGGTGAGGGGTGGAGTGGAGACACCCATGAAGCGATTCGCGATCGGATGAGCCGATGAGCGCGGCTGTAACCGGTTAATTTGTAACGGATGGATCCGATGGCAACTCTAATCCGTATTCCGGAGACAACATTAAAAACCACCCAATCATTTGCACAAACGTTGTTCCAAGCCATCAAACCACCATCATGTTCAAATATACCTATCGAAATCGGGTCGCTTTTAGCGCTCGGCGCTATTTGTCGAAGCAACACTCCCTTCCTGCGGCCTACTACCGCGGAGGCACCTCGCGCGCCGTTATGTTCAATCAGGCCCATCTCCCTCCTCGCTCGGAGTGGGACGCCATCTTTCGCTCCGTCATTGGCAGCCCTGATCCATACGGACGGCAGCTTGATGGCCTGGGAGGGGGTATCTCCAGCCTCTCCAAGGTATGCGTGGTGGGGAAATCCACCCACCCCGATGCCGACGTTGATTACACTTTTGTGTCGTTGGGGGTCAAGAATTCCGATGTGGATTACTCCAGCAACTGTGGCAATATGATCAGTGCCATTGGTCCCTTTGCCCTTGACCAAAAGCTTGTTTCTTCCCAAACGCCCGAGTCGGCTACTGTACGCATCCACAATACCAACACGGGGAAAATAATCACTGCCTCCTTTCCCGTGGTGGACGGCGAGGCTGCCTCTAGCGGCGACTTTGCTATTGATGGCGTTGCCGGCACAGCTGCTCGGATTCAGTTAGATTTTGTCAATCCGGCTGGCTCGGTGACTGGGAAGATGCTGCCGACGGGGCAGGCAAGGGACAAATTCGACGGTGTTTCAGCCACATGTATTGACGTGGCCAATCCATGCGTTTTTATTCCAGCTAGCAGCTTGGGCGTCCGTGGTGACTTGACTCCAGACGAGATTGCCGCTCATCCCGACCTTCTGCAAAGGCTGGATTCTATCCGGCGCCAGGCGGGGGTCAAGATGGGTATAGCACCGACTACCGATGCTGTTCCAGGAAGTATTCCCAAGGTTTGCATGGTGTCGCCACCTCAGGAGTCTGAAGGGAAGGACTCTGTCGACCTGCTTGTGCGGGCCATTTCTGTGGGACAGCCGCACAAGGCAGTTCCTATCACTGTCGCGTTGGCTGTTTCTGCAGCTGCTCGTGTAGTAGGTAGTACTGTTGAGGATGCAACCAACAAAGATCGCGTCAGTGATGCTGGTCTTACAATTGGTCATGCAAGTGGAAATTTGCTTGTTGGGGCCAAGTTCGAGGAGGATCAGCTTACGGCGGCAACTGTCTTCCGTACTGCGCGTCGGCTCTTTGAGGGCCAGATTTATTGGAAGAGTTAAATTATTCGAAACCAGAAATTCAATAACCGTGCTTGAAAATTTCTCTCATTGTTAAGCGGGGGCAGTCGCCAGTACCGATTGTAATGGTACTTTGCTATAAACGTAATATTATTATAATACAAACCTAACTTGTCGGGACATTTGACAGTAGCCAGGCACCCACCAAGTACTCCACCTCTGCTGTTTATGTGAGTTCTTCTCCTTCCCAACGGGATCTATTTTCGGGAATGAAGAATCTAAAATAGAAATAATGCAACATTTGGTTGGCATTGTCTCTTGATACCACGATCTCTACTGAGTCAAAGTATCTTGCGTCTGCCTGCGTCAAAGCTTCACTGGCATGATCATGAGACGATTGTGCACTAGACAGTGATCTGCATATCACTCCATATAAACCACAATATCTTATTGGTCCATTCGCCACGGTGAGTCGTTTAGTAAAGTCTGTCGGAGCATCCGATGGGAAATGGGTGCAGCGATACTCATACCCACCTGGGGTACCAAACCCACACTGGATGATTAGGCGATCGAGACGAGGGACAGAAAGGACAACGCCATACAGCCATAGATATCCTCCAATCAAACAAGAGTAGATATAATGACTTGAATCGATCATGTCATGAGGTATCTGCACCCCGCTTTTTCTTCTTTGACTCCAGACGCTCTTCCCCACGGGGGATCAGACGTAAAGTACTTAAGACGCCGAGTAATTCTATGAAGCAGAGGACACACAAGAAAGCAACGTGAAAATGGCAGGCCTTACTCTCCCTGTGGTTGGCACCCAGCTACAAGTCGCTCTGGTACTTCTTATCGTTGCTCCTTCGTTCATTCTCTTCGGATACAACCAAGCGGTCTTGGGCAGTCTACTCAGTCTCCAAAGTTGGGTGTCAGTGTTCCCAGCCATAGACACTATAAACACCTCGGGAGCACAAAAGTCCCATAACTCGACATCCCAGGGTGCATGCAATGCCCCGTTTCAGATGGGATGTCTGATCGGTGCTCTATCCCTTTCTCTGTACGGCGACAAACTCGGACGTCGAAAGACAGTTTTCATCGGAGCTGTGATCACCGTCGTCGGTCAGGCTCTGCAGGTCTCCGCAACCACATTAATCCAGTTGGTCGTTGGACGAGTTATCCTAGGGTTCGCTATCGGCCAAATCAGCGGCACGGTGCCTGTATGGCTCTCGGAATGTGCCTCGCCGAAGTACCGCGGACAACTGGGAATCTGTACGGGTATCTTCATCAGTACGGGATACACATTGTGCAACTGGATTGATTTAGGATTCAGCTATCTATCCCCTTCCACTGGACAATGGAGAGCTCCGCTAGCTATTCCCTTCCTCTTCTCGGCAATGATACTGGTTTCTGCTTTCACATTCCCGGAGTCACCTCGTTGGCTGGTATCTAGAGGCCGGGTCGAAGAAGCCACAACTAGTCTCTGCCGCTATCGAGGGAAGGATGCGCATGGTGAGATGATTATGTGCGAGATAGCCCATATTCAGCTTGCTTTGGAGGGGAGTGGGACCATGTCCATCCTGGATATCTTCGATCGCAAGGACAAGACGCGTCTCTTGTTGCGTTTTTGGCTCTGCATGGGGCTGAACTTCTTCCAGCAGGTCAGTTGGCGACCCTTTGAAAGACTTCAATTTGTATATGTCTCCATCGCTAATTTACCAGGCCTGCGGAGGTAACCTAATATCCGTTTACAGTTCCACTATCTTCGAAAACTACCTACACATGACGCCCACCATGTCTAGAGTCCTAGCGTCCTGCGTACTATCATGGAAAACTCTCTGCTGCATTATAACATTTTGGACTATCGACAACTGGGGCCGTCGTCTATCCTTCATGGTAAGCGGAGCCGGTATGTCCGTTTGCATGGCCGTGCTAGCCGTCACCACCGGCTTGGGCAAAATCACGCATCCAATGGCGATAGCATACGTTGCCTTTATGTTTGTCTTCAACTTCTTCTACCCGATCGGCTTCATGGGTGGCAACTTTCTCTATACAGCTGAGATTGCGCCCGTGCGTCTGCGAGCGGCCATGTCTTCGCTCGCAACTGCTAACCACTGGCTATGGAATTTGGTGGTCGTCTTAGTTACGCCGGTTGCTATTGATACGATTGGGTGCTGGTACTACGTGATCTATGCGCTCATATCTGCGACGATCCCGGTCTGCGTGTACTTCTTTTATCCGGAGACGATGCACTGTAGTCTGGAGATGCTTGATCGGTGTTTGTGGATGCCCCTTCTATCTGGAAGATTGTGCCGATGGCCAGGGGGTTGCCGCTCGGGGAAGTCGGCACAGCAGAGAGTGGAGGTAAAGTGTCTGAGGAGAAAAAGGCGGAGGATGTTGATGGTAATGTTGAGATGAGGGAATATGTCTAGATGGATAAGCTGGACAGCGTTGCTATTGTCATTAGTTGTTCCTCGCATAGAGAAGAGGCGATGTGCTCATCGGCTCAGCCGACGGAACCATCCGAAGCCGTCACCAGGATGACCGAGGTGTAAATCAGCCACAGCTGGAGTTGTTACATCAACCCTTGTGATTTATATCTACTGTCTTATCCAATAAATCACCCTTGTTTACCAATGCATCATCAAGATGATTAGAACACGAGTGAGCTGTCCCAAGTTAGCCAGAGGCTATGCCTCGCACACCCAAGTGCCAATCAGTCGACTTGAACAACACAAAATAAACATATCCCAATTCCCTTCCGCCATTCAATCACTCAAAAAGCGGTAAATACTCATCTCACCTACACTGAACCATTAGTTCCCTACTAATATCCACCCTTAGATACAATCGCCCTCTAACATATGCCGAAAAAGTCCTCTACAGCCACCTCGACACCACCTTCGACGAGCGCATCGAGCGCGGCAAGACCCAACTCAAACTACGCCCGCAACGCATAGCATGTCAAGATGCCACAGCCCAAATGGCTCTTATCCAGTCCATGTCCGCCGGACTAGACACAGCTGCCGTGCCCACGACAGTCCATTGTGATCATTTGATCGTCAGTCGTGACGGCGAAACGCAGGACCTCGCGCGAGCGCTCGATAATCATAAAGAAGTTTACGATTTCCTTGAGTCCGCCTGCCAGAAGTACAACATGGGGTTCTGGAAGCCCGGTGCGGGAATCATTCATCAGATGGTGCTGGAGAATTATGCTTTCCCTAGTGGGATGATGATCGGGACGGATTCGCATACCCCCAACGCAGGAGGTCTGGGCATGATAGCTATCGGAGTCGGCGGTGCTGATGCCGTGGACGTGATGGCTGGATTGCCACTGGAGCTGCAAGCGCCCAAGGTATTGGGTGTTCGTTTGACGGGGCAGTTGTCCGGATGGGCATCGCCAAAGGATATTATCAATGCCGTTGCTGGGACGCTTTCGGTCAAGGGAGGAACAGGGTCCATTATTGAGTACTTTGGACCTGGGGCGCAGACTTTATCAGCTACTGGAATGGCAACGGTTTGCAATATGGGTGCAGAGACGGGTGCCACGACGTCCATCTTCCCTTATGCGCCACAGATGGCGGGTTATCTTCGTGCTAACCATCGCCGTGAGATGGCTGATGCGGTTAAGAACATTGCGCCGGAGCTGCAGGCTGACCAGGGGGCTGAGTATGATAATGTCATTGAGCTGGATCTGTCAACTCTCGAGCCACGCATCAATGGACCTTTCACGCCGGACTTTTCTACGCCGGTTTCGCGGTTCGGTGAAGCCGCAGCGGAGAATCAGTGGCCGGGTGAATTGACGGCAGCTTTGATTGGTTCGTGTACTAACTCTTCATTTGAAGATATGGGACGTGCAGCTAGTCTCGCTCAGCAGGCATTGGATGCAGGATTGGAACCGAAGATGCCGCTTTTGGTATCCCCGGGTAGTGTTCAGACGCGCGAGACGTTGAAAGATACTGGCATCTTGCCAGTCTTTGAGAGACTCGGTGCGACGATGCTTCCCAATGCCTGTGGACCATGCTGTGGGTCTTGGGATAGAGTTGACATGCCAAAGGTATAGTATTGCCATTCAACTTCCCACTTCACTTCATTTTTAACGGCATAACCAGGGCACCCCTAACTCCATCATAACCTCCTACAACCGGAACATCTCCGGTCGGTTGGACTCCAACCCAGCAACCAACGTATTCCTAGCATCCCCCGAGCTCGTCATTGCAAAGGCCTTCTCCCACGACCCATCCTTCGATCCAACCACCAAAACGCTCCCTACACCATCCGGCGAGCAATTCCATTTTCTCCCGCCAACCAGTGACTCCCTCCCCTCAAAGGGCTACCTCTCCTCCGACTCAGCCTACGCACCCCCACCCGCAAACCGAGACAACATCTCCGTCAAAATCGACCCTTCATCTCTCCGCCTCCAGAAGCTCTTCCCATTCCCACCCTGGCCCGGACACGACTTCGAGAACTGCGCCATCCTGATCAAAACAGCCGGAAAATGCACAACAGACCAAATCACCCCGGCCGGTCCATGGTTCCGCTACCGTGGACACCTCGAAAACATCTCCAACAACACGCTAATCGGGGCAACCAACGCCGAGAACGGCAAGGTGAACAGTATTCGGAACCAGCTCACGAAGCAAGACGGACAGGAAGTGCCCGCTACAGCACGTCACTACAAAGAAAACGGCGTGCCGTGGGTGGTCATCGCAGACCATAACTACGGTGAGGGCAGTTCGCGGGAGCATGCGGCGCTGCAGCCGAGGTATCTAGGTGGTGTGGCGATCATCGCAAAGTCCTTTGCGAGAATTCATGAAGCGAATCTGAAGAAGCAGGGGTTGTTGGCGTTGACATTCGAGAATGAGCAGGATTATGATAGAATTAGGGCCGAGGATCGGATTAGTATTATGGGGCTTGGAGAAGGGGAGTTTGTTCCGGGGAGCACTTTGAGGTTGGTGGTCAATGGAGGCGAGTGGGAGGCTGTGCTCAGACACAGTTTTACCGAGGAGCAGATTGGGTATTTTAGAAGTGGGAGTGCGTTGAACCTGATGGCAGGGAAGTAGTTACATGTTATTTATAGTCGATGTGTAATAATATGCTATATCACGCTCTAAGCAAATCATAAATCGCCCAACGCCAACACTACCCTCCGCAACGCCTCCTCAAGATACTCCCTCGGATGCGTAAACACGATCCTGAACCACCCACTATGCTCAGATCCAAACAACACCCCACTAGCCAAGAAGACCTTCCTCTGAAGCAGAAGCTGCATCACCTTGTCGCTGATTCCGTCACCCAAATCTGCAGTCTGCTCCGGATGTAATTCGCGATACCTCTTACCAAGGTTAACCCAGAGGAAGAACGCAGCATTAACCCCCGGAGCATATTCAATCCCATTTTCCCTGAGTCTCTGAACAGCAAACGCATATGACTCAGACATCCTCTGCCGATTGAGCTCGATATACCTCGCAGTAAAGTCCGTATCTTCAAGGACCGTAGCTGCGACGTGTTCCGAAACAGACGAGGAATAACTATACAACGACACGCCCTGCAACGCCTTGTGCAGAGTGGGGTTATTCTGAGAGATGATTACCCCGAGTCGAATACCATTGGCGCCGAAATCCTTGCTCATTCCCCACAGTGCATGGACTAGACTAGGATCGATAATGCCAGTTGTGTTGATGGACAAGGCGGACTCAAAGGGCACGGGGATATGCTCGTCAACGGTGTTCTCCCACACAGACAGCGCATATATCTCATCGCTGATCAAATGAATCTGATATTTTTGACACAGCCGCATCAGATGAATGATTGTTTCCCGGGGGTAGCACCGACCCAACGGATTATGTGGATGGCAGAGCATCAAGGCACGGACTTTCCGGCCGGTGTTTTGCTGAAACGTGAGCAGTGCGCGCTCATAGCAGTCCACGGCTTGCAGACTGAATGGGTCACAGTCGTCAAATTCTACAGGGACGACTGTCGCCCCGGGGCGGAGGGACATGTCTGGGATGAAGGTGCCGTAGTAGGGTCTGCCCAGTAGGATGCCTTCGCCGGGGTCGGTGAAGGCCCATGAGATGTGCTCAATGGCGGAGGAGACACCGTTTGTGACGAGGAGGTCGTCGATGGTCAGTGGTTTGAATGATTGAAGGTGTTTGTTGAGGAATGATACCATGGCGCGTCGGAGGCGCTCTGCGCCAATGGCACCATCGTTGTAGGTGAGGTATTTGGCTGGGAGGGTGAGCTTCGTGGTGTTGATGTATTCCAGCAGGTAGTCATGCATCAGTGCGTTTTCGGCAACCCCTACGTTCACGTAGCCGTCGGGTTTGGTTGTAGGACACCATGGGTTCTTGAGGATGTCCCACATCAGATTGTTGGATGAGGAGACGACTGTGCGGGCTCGGTTGGAGAGAGGAGAGGGATCCATGTTGGTGGATGTATGGGTTGTATGCTACAATTGGGGTGGTTTGGTGATTGAGATGGGCTTTGGGTGCCAGAAGAGAAGTGAGGATGTGACACACGTGAGGGGGGAATCCACTGGATGAGGCGGATAGCTGTGGATCGATCCTTGGCAGTTCTAGGAAATCACGAAAAATTGGGCATAGGTAACTGTCGTATGAGGCTATTCAAGGGGTCGTATTAGTACTGGTACTGTTGATGCGGAACTGATCCAGACACAGCGTAGACACCTTACATTCCACAGCTTCGATGCCCCAGAAAATTAGTGAATTACATCACGGTGAAGCAGGTGAACCGAAATCTGGTTTGTGTTTAATGGTTCGCTTAGTCTTGACTCAAGGTTGGTCGGGAACCTAATATCCCCACCATGGATGATCCGGTGGAGAAAGTTTACGGCAGATGAAGAACTGGTGTGGAATACCGGAGGGTGTGTGGTTCGGCAGACCGAACTCGGTGAAGTGGGTCATGAAGGGTTTCTCTTTGTCAAACTTTGTGGATGCTTCATGATGTGGGTGACAATCACCTCTTCTAATCCACACTGAGGATAGGAATGCCAGCCTAAAGAGGGGCGATCACCGCCATCCCACTGTGGCTGGTAATCCCTTGCGGAAGACAGTTCTGGTAGGGACAGATAGTATACCTTGTGACCTCTGTGGCACATCGCGCCTTAGATATCCTGTCTGATGAATGCGTCTCGAAGCATGTGCGGTGATCTATGTTCTCGGGTTGCCTTCGTATTGCGACTTTCCGGATTTTGGTGGAGTGCCATTTTCGCATGGCTTTGAGGAACATGTTAATATGATGATAATCACCTTGACTTTGTCGCGGAAGGAATTTGAGTGGTACTAAATTTTGGGGGTGGTTAGCTAGCCGTTATGGAATTGAATTGATGGTAGATGACAGAGAACCATATGTAGATAAGTGTGTCCGTCCCGAAAGGTTATCAAAAGAATCCATTAGATAGTAATCAGCGTGCTCGGCCCTGATCTTTTATCCCAGGTTTTGGAAACGTCGAAAATATGTTGGTATTACAAGTTAACCACAGCAATATTAAGAATGATCAATTGGTGGCGTTCGAACCTTGCGGAAAGGGTTTCCTTATGCCGGGGACAACAAGTCAATTATCTGGGATGTTGTCAACCCCATTAGCAGACAAAATTTAATACAAAAGAATACAGGCAGTCCGGAATACATAGTTCTGCTGTGTCTGTTACTCATCCAGTAGCTCTCGCTAGCTTAGACATCTCACTGTCAACATGCAGAATTACCAGATATATCTGGCCTTGACTGCTTACAAACGTTTGATACAAGAGGAATAAGAAACAAGCTAAGAGTCCATATTGAACTGCTATATCAAATTACTAACTAGTCTGAGAACACAAGCAGTATTGGATTGTGGTAGTGTGCACGCACTGTAGCTAACACTATGTATGCAAAGATCCATGGGGGCCGACTAGCTATCCCTCTGATAACTTCAGAATGTCCATACTATGGTTTGCGTGTTCGAATTTCATGGCGGTGACATCGTCTCCTTCAGTTCCTGTTCTCGCAATGTCGCTTCGTCGGAGTTCGGATTATTATTAATCAACATGCCTCCTCTGAATGGGTCTTCGAAGATGAAATTAGGATCAGGAGAGAGCGCCCGTCGAGGTTCATAGTTGGGCTCCGGGTATTCAACCCAGAATTGATTCTCCACGTTTTGACAGCTGTACTCGTCGCCACGGCGAACACGGGAATAAGCCCGTCTCGGTTGCCAAGAGGCAATAAGGGCAGCACACGTTCGAAAGTGCTCCGGAAGATCCACCTCTTGATACGACCGATGATAAGCCCGCCTACTGTAACACTCATCTTCATCAGATCTATCGACCTTTGGCCAGTGGTTATAAGCGTGATAACAAGCCCGACAGTATGTTCCAGACTACAAGGTTTTGGTTTCATTATCCCAATAAGGGAATGGAGCGGTAGCCATGAATTGTAATTGGTGGCAGTCGCCTTCATACCAAACAGTCACGCTCGGACGAGGATTGAGTGGAGGACGAGCGAGCGGACGTCTAATAGATGTAGACCTCCGGGGTTCCCATTCCGAGAAAGTCGCAAATTCTCTCTTCATGGTACGACGTGCTTCATGTGTTTTGCTCTGTGATCCTTCGAGCCCGTGGAGTAGCACAGCTATCGCATCACTCTGGGAGACGCTTGCCAGACGGACCCCAGGTTCCCACACACTGTGGACAATCGGAATATCCCCAAGGTCTGTCTCCTTCAGATCGAAGTAAAAACAGATGTCCTTCATGCGGGCGATCCTGTACAATGGATTGTGATAATTGCAGTTGTAACAGCAGCGCTTGAGTGTTGGAAGGTGGAGGTATGGTCCGAAATCATGGCAAGTTCGACACAAAGGTTGGGTAAACTCGTCATAGAGCTGTTCAGTGGTGTAATGGTGAGAGACGCATCTTGTCCATCAAGTGCAGTGTTTCAAATGCCTTTTCTCTGAGCAACCGATAGGGACGGAGTGATAGAACTTGAGATTTTGATACTGCATCGACCAGAAGCAGGTTGCCCAGGCTAGCCACGTCCAAATAGAGAAGGATGTGATGGATAAGTTCAAGGGGAAGAAAATAACCAATAAAGAGATTGAGACCAGCATTTGATTGTCTGTTGTCCTTTGACAAGACATTCTCAACTGTTGGCTGCGGGGGTTGTGGCTTCTGATACTTGGAAAACCCAAAGACCTTGCTGATCGGGTTCTCGATCCGGTAAGCAAAGCCGGATGCCATGATGTAAGATATGAGACTTTAAAGAATGGTAGACTGGATTGACAGAGTGAGTTAGATTATATTGATGATGTTATATCAGGTGAGATAGAGAACAAGTCCATACCAAGGTTCAAAGTCGACACGGAGGATGCACATGTAGGGTGCACAGTTTTGTGATGGCAGGAGTGTCAAGGGACTCTCCAGATCACAACGTGAGTGAAATTTTAGACCATGAATCGTCGCGGCAACACTATGGTAGCACCAGCACGTGCAACCTCAAACAACAACTTGGACCCGAATCCAATCTGTGAAATGGTATTGCTACACAATACCGTCAAGACTTGATTGACTAGTGCTGAATGCAGATTTTATTGTACAATAGGGGATTGCTTATAGAGATTTTCGACTTTCCCTGCCAGCATCTATGTTAGGCTAATATGCTATTCACGAAGCACTGTTGACTGCGATAGACAGCCACCGTTGACCCATGTTTCATATTTGGCTTGATAAGGGAGGCTGAGATGCTGTTAGTATGGACCATATTATTACTGACCGAGTTACGTGATCTTTCCCTAGTAAGATGCTCGCGAGGACATAGGAAGCACTCATTCAGGTCTGTTATGCTGACACCCCTATACACTTACTTGATGTAAAATATTCTTCAATCTTATCTATAATATGGGCTTCCTAGGTACACACTTTTCAATTTACCATCCTGATATCTCGCAGGAGTGCGTCTAATAAAATCTACTATTCCTGCCCACCCTCATTCATCATATGAGCTGCGTTGTGGATGTTTCCTAATATGGATGGGATAACATCTTCTTTTCCTAAAAGGTTCGCGTGCAGGGCAGGAACACCCGCGTAATGGGGAAATGATCACTGCGACTGTTGGTGGAAATGGAAATCGCTTGCGGGAAGCAGTTAAATCAGTGGCAACAATAGCATACCTGATGATCTCCGTGACATATCGCGATTTGGATCACCCATATAGTGAAATTCGTCTGGGAGGAAAAGTTACTTATATGTTAGTGTCAAGCACGATAGAGTCACAGACATAAGAGGGTTGTGAAATAGATTCTATACAAATGTTTTCTATCGCTTGAGCGACACTGGTTGACATCACCGTACTCGCCTAGAATATGTAGCACAAGGTACAAAAATGGGACTGATTGCCGGTGACTGCATGTCCACATTCAGAGTGATTTCAGACGTCGGAGTAGAGAGACGCAATCACAGTGGCCCAACACAAAAGGTTGATCGACGGGACGAAGGGGATATGGAAACAATGAGTTCAACCGCTGCTCTTTCACCAAAGTTTATGGCCAGGGAAAGGTTATCTCAGAATCTGACAGGGACAACGAGCGTAACATGGAGGACGGTCAATGGGTCCGAACTTCTATAAGGGATGTGGTTTTTGGAAGTACACATCGACGGCGTAATTTCATTGATGGGGCACAATTGAGCTTTCTTGAGCTACTTTGAACATCCAGTAAAGATTCAGACGTTGGAATGGCACTGATTGAAGACAGATAACCAGTAGAGTGGGTATTATAAGAGAATTTGCTCTTGTCTTTACGCCAGACAACTTTGAAGCTTCCGCAGTAAGGGGGCGGGATGGGAATAGTAGACCGTTCTCCTACAAATGGTGATGGTGATAGTGAGCCATTCTACCTATTCCAATAAGACGTTCAAATCTAAATTTTCTTCAGCATAAGCCGAGTTCAGAGCAAATTATACAACCTACAGGCGAACTACCCATCAGTTGCCTCGAAGCAAGCTTCTGCCATCTGGTCAACCGCATGATCACGCGCTTGGACGGTTGAAAGGCCAGTTTGAACCAGACTTCCAAGGGCATCTCCGACCCAATTTTGACAGTTCCAGTCATGATTTCCAGGGCTATTTTCGATTCGCGTTTGTTCGCAGGCACGCTTGATATCCTGTTTCGAGAGCGACTTCGAAGTTGTGGGGACTTCGATTAGGGTTGCGAGTTTAGCACTGGCCTGAGGGTCCTTTCCAACACTGTCTTCAAACTCAAAGAACCCATGTGCTCCAACGATATGCAGCAGACTCTGGTCACCGTCCGCGAACGCCACGTGAATAGCGGTGTGTCGCTTTTTGATATAATCCAACGGGTCCCCAACAAACACCGCAATAGATAGTTTGACTGACATCCTGTTTAATGCGGTACAACCAAAATGAGCAATATGGCAAATGCTCCAGCAAGGAGCAGAAGCAGACCATCATCGCCTTCTTATCTCTTTTGTTTTACCACGCACAAGAATGACGCCTGCGCTTGTAGCGGAAAAAGGAGTCCAAGTGGTTGATATTCGTCGGAATACCTTTCTTCCTGTCCCCGGTAGGGAATCCGATCGCATCCCGCTGCCTGGCGAAGGAGTGCTTCCGGAATGCGACACCAACATTGTCCATCAGACTAACGTAGCTAGCTCATCTCCTGGCTTACATGCATATCCATAAATTAAATGAGATTCTTTTTCTAGTGGCCCATACGAGTCCGTTCTAGCCTCCTCCCCCCACAACGACTATGCTTTTACACTGCAGATGATCAGTACATCATTGCCTATTCATCTCCCTTTATATCCGGTGGTTGTCCAGCGTATCAACGTTGATTTGGTGCTGGCGCCCTCGAAATGTCGTTTTTCTGGCTCAAGAGCTCGGCAAAACCGGCTCCAAAAGATAGTAAGATCCCCGAGGGAGAGATACGACACTATATACTAACCAACGTAAGAGCCACGCATCATTTCTTCCTTAGGATCCCGAACAATTCAAGTCCAGAACAATCAAGTAATATGATCAGGGGCCACGCTGTACGGTCATGAAGTGAACAACATGAGGTTTATCGCTGAGCATACCAGCATTCCTGTTCCTGAAGTTCACAAGATTGAAACCGACCAGGATGGCAAGGTCCTTGAAATATATATGGACTATATGCCAGGAACGCCATTGGACGAAGCGTGGAGTACTATGACTGAAGTCGAAAAGCGATCGGTGGCAGAAGACCTTCTTAAATACGTACGCGAAATGCGATCACTGAAAGGTAACTACATTGGAGCTGCAGGCCGTGGCCAGGCAGTGATTGGCCAACATGTTTTCCATGGTGGTGGTCCGTTCGACACAGAACGCGAGTTTAATCAATTTATGTTCTCCAAGATCATATCCAAGGTTCCCGATGCGTTCAAGTGCCATGCAGCAAGGGTATTCAAAGAGAACCATGAGATTGTCTTCACCCACAGTGACTTGGCCCCCAGGAATATACTGGTCAAAGATGGCCATGTTAGCGGTATTCTGGACTGGGAGCATTCCGGGTGGTATCCAGAATATTGGGAGTATGAAAGGGCGTATCGGCATTTTAATGATGTGCCTGGGTGGCTAGATTATGTTGATCTCTTTTTACCCTGGAAGTACTCTGAAGAGATAGTGGCGATGTCATATTTATCTAAATACAGCCGTTGAATGATCGATATGATCCATTACGTTAACTACTACCAAGGAAGCACCATCCCGACGCACGATGTCACCCACCACAATCGACAAAGATATCGCAATACTTCAACTAAGCCAAATGCCGGTGTCGTAAACCTCGCATCTGCATGATTATCGTAATCTTCCTGAATCACGAGCATCGGGGTCGAAAGATACCATAGCCCGTCCCGCGTATCGTCCGGAGCACAGTCATTTCCAAAAGAAGGCTCTTGGTTCCCGGCACATATCAGAAAAGATGCCCCTCATCTGAAATGGACTAGTTAACATCATGGGGACGCAGCTCAGGGTTCATCTCCACTGCGTGGACGCTTAGACACGTCTCAACATGCTGAGGTAAATCGGCCTCTCGATAGGCTCGAAAGGAAGATTCCCAGCCTAATGGGCAAGGTTCTTCGCAGCCCCAAGGCCCACGCCCATCGAATAGTACCATCTCTCTCCAGAAGTAAGCGCAAGCGGTACAGTAGACTCCTGCATCTGTAGCCTGTGCCCGCTTGTCCCGGTAGGGGAACGGCACCGTGGCCATGAACTTCATGCGGTTCCTTTTCCTCTCGCTCCAGAAACATCCGCCCCCAGGAATCCCGTGTCGTTGGTATGGCGTCGGTTCAACTTCAGATAAATAGACACCTTCTCCTTCGATTATATGGACAGTTGCGTCTAGTATCTCTGCCTCCTCCGGCCCATAAAGCTTGGATACAAGGTTCTTGCACTGCGAGATGTTTGCCATGCAGTCTTGGGGATCATGAAGCCAAATATTGTGGACAAGTTGGAGATCGTTCAGTTCCTCTTCCTCAATTCCGAAGTAGTGGCAGATTTTCTTGACAGATCCCAATCCGTACGACTTTTTGTATAAGTTGCATTCATAGCAACATCTCTGCATGGTTGGAATGTAGAGAAACGGCCCAAAATTTGGGCACGTTCTGCACTTAGGCTGACAGAATTCATTGAAGATCTGTCCAATGGTGTAGTGTGAAGAAAGTCTCATCTGGCGCATCAAATTGAGAGTCTCGTGCGCATGGGTTTTGAGGACGGGGTAATCCAGCATGGTTTCCACCTGCTCCTTGGTCTTGCTGTTGACTAGGAGCATCATTCCTATGGACCTCAGATCCAGGAATCGAAGTATTTCATGGGCCAGTTCGAGAGGAATCGTAAACCCAAGAAATATATTGGCTTCATATTCAAATCCTTCCTTTGATTTGGATATGTTCGGGACTGGAAGGGTCATGTTTTTCGGTGCTACTGGCCTCTGATAGCCTTCCAGGAGGAGGATCTCCGTGACTGGGTCCTGGACCCGAAATCCGTCCCCGTTCGCCACTGAGAGAGCTCGGTTCATCTCGAGTAGGTAAGACTTGGCCAATCGATCGTATGCGATGCTATCGAAACGGGGCTCCATCATGTGCTGAGAGGTAGGTTCACAGTGAAGTTTGCAGGCGTCAACGATGAACTGCACAGTTGTATGTTGTTGAGAAAGATTTAGTGTTTTCAGGATCACAACAGATGTCACCCTTTATATTTTGCATCGCCGCGGCGACACGTTGCTAGCACAATACGTTAACCGAAGAACAAATTATGACGTGGTAATCCCAACTTTGACAATGCAATACCTTAAGGACCTTAGGATACAATGAGCTTCTAGAAATTTCATCCGCTATTGTCTAATACGAGTAATCCTTTGGAGTTCTGAATGCTTATGCTGACACCTACAGGGAGGCTGAAATTGCCAGTGTGGAAGCATTGCTAGTTGCGTTTGTATAGTTGGGGCTGGTGCACAGTTCCCCCAAAACTGATCAAAGACTTTCAGATGGTGGTCAGAATCGGCGATGCGGACAATGCCTTCACGTTCTGTTCTGAGAAATTGTAGTAAACTTGTAAACAAGTCTCCCGGGCTAAGGTCTCCATAATGCCTTTCTGATGTAATAACTGCTACATGCATGTTACTAATGTGCGCTTCTTGAATACATTTACAGTTATTTGTCTTGCCATTCATCAATAGCGTGTCCCATCTCAGCGACAGTGCACTGATAGTTTTACCCTTCTTGAGATTGAATTAGAGTTTTGGCAGCTTCTTCGATCTATGGTTGTTAATGTTCGTTCACTACAAATGGTAGGTGGGATAACATACCGTGCCGCAAATCTTGTTAATCTCGAACATCTTGGTGGCATTTGGAGAGCTTTTGGCTTTGATACATCGTGCATATCGACTGACGATACGACATAGCCCCGGCAAGCCTTGTGTGCACTCGAGCATTAACTGACACGCATCGCCCCTGCTGATCTTGATGTTGACATTCCGTTCAAACAGAGCGGGATTGCTGAAGCATAGTTCCAGTGTCGCAATAGCCATGCACTGAGGCACAACGCAGAAATTGAAGATGCTCTGCTCATTCAACCCAGCCAGATAAATGAGACATTCCTTAACATGCTCAAGTGCGTTGAGAATCATCTCAGAACTGCACTATATGGCCGCCTCATGATTCTCTGGCTTGAACAAATCTGCAAAGTTGCTGACGTACTTAGACCATATCTGATGAGGCCAGAACCGACGATTGTCTTCGTGATCTTCACTGACGTCGCGGATGATGTTGGTCTTCTGCAGAAAGAGACTCATTGACCGAGGTAAAGTTGGGTTGTCGAGTAATGACGAGTTGCAAAGTTGCGGTTCGATGAAGAAGCGGGTAAGACCCTCACCGACACAGCCGGCAACATAATAGCAGTACAGCTCATACTCGGCTATAGTCATGACGCCGGCATTATCTGGATGGCCCAGGGTAACCTTATGGCAGAAGTCAGCCATTCCGTTACCCATTATTTTAGTGATGTCCTTGATAATGTGTTTGTAGGCTGGCTTCAAAGCTTTATACTCTTTGATAACGTGATGGAAGTGAACAAGCAGTTCGCGGTCCTTCTCTTCGGGACGGTTGCCATCGTATGTCCACCCGTCTTTCATTATTATATTATCAAACTCACGAAGCAAGGTCTGCTTGGTCTTCACAGTAATAGAAGGGTCGTCTTCTATGGTGTCGAGACCGCGGAGGACAAGGTAGAAGATACAAATCGGGACGAGCAATTCGGAGTGGAGCTCCTTAATGATAACGCTGAAGCTCCGGCTGGTTTGATCAAGAAACTTGAAACAAACCTGCCGAGATTCGCTTTCACTTATAATATTGGATCGATGATTTGGGTTGTGTTGGTTCATCCTATGATTGTGAATATGCATTCCGTCAGCTATCAATGGTAGGACAATGGGTGTGGGATGATCACCATTGCAGGACATCCGTCAAATGAAATGAATGAAACACTTAGTAAAGAGCATTGCTAATTGATTCCATTTTTATTGATATACAAATAAGAGAACGACTTTTGCGATGGCCAGATTTCACATGGTTTGGACTCTAGGGGGCTTTAAGGGTATAGAACGTGGAAGCGGAGCGGAGCGGGATTCGCATGCCGCTATTTTAGTTGCGGGAGCGGATTTCGAATTTCCAACGCCCCGAAATCCGTCCACCGGAGGGTGCAGCTAATCCCAAGAACTCTACAATCGCGGTGCAGCAGCGCCTGATTTTCTATTGGACCATCCAGTGTCTCAATTATACTTCACATTTCTCAGTTGAACTAGATGGAAAAGACAGCACGTGATAATGGAAAGCCGGCCGCATACGGCCGAGCATGCGTCAACTGTGCTCGCGTCAAACGCAAATGCATGCTGCGAGCCAATGGAGATGGATGTGAAAGGTATATCACCTCTCGAAAACACCATTGGCGATCGTTGGCTCATATACGTGGTCAGATGCTTTCGGCTCAAAGTAGAATGCAACCCTTCTCCTACCGTCCGCAGGAGTGGCTCGAGACCCAACGGCTCTCAAGCTGCTCGTTTGGAGCAGAAGTTAGATGGGCTCGTTTCATTATTAGAAGCTCGCCAGGGTAGCCTTGAACTCGAAGAAACTGCTTCGTCATCAACCTCCTTTATATCAGCTCCCTCTCGCGCTTCAGTGCCTGCAGATCGTAGGTCGCATGCACAACCGGTTGTTGATCTTGATAGAGCAACTACAGATCATGGCAAAAAGTATCCAAATAATCCATCAGAAAGTGGGGGGCTATTCCCACATAGCCTTTCCGAGGCTCCCAATCCATCGTCTCATGATGCAAAACAACGTTTCAAAACTTTCTATAAACACTATACCGAATTTCTCCCTTTCTCTCTCTTCTATATTTCGAGAATGGGTCGACCTCTGAAGCGCTGTACCGAGAGTCACTATTTCTCTGGCTATGTATAATGGCTGTGACATCTACAGATGCCAAATAACAGAGCAGTCTAGCAAAGAAAGTCCGAGCGGTTGCCGCTCGTGAGGTAATCGTAGAAGGCAAATGTACGATGGATCTGTTGCATGGTCTCCTCTGTTTCATCGGTTGGTCAGTTCTCTTTATCACACCCTTGGTAACTGCACGACTGATGGTGATCTATAGGGGACACTTTCGCTTCTCTATGGGATCCCTTCTTACTATTTTGTCTCAGCTGTGCACTGCTCTGACGGTCGATCTGCAACTTCGAAGCCGGCATTGCGGAGAGGGTAATCTGATTCATATGTTTCCTCGACCGATTGCATCTCAGATTCAGGGAGCTACAGGCAGATTCCAGCCGAGGAGCATCGTAATTGCACGGACGGCATTGGCTTGCTACTTTCTAACATCATGGTTAGCACTTCATCGAACTATTTTGAAATACCGCTAATGGCAAACCCAGCGTTGCAACGTTTCAAGCAGTTGGGGAGAGTTTGGCCTGGTCACCATACCTTGAAGAGTGTCTGAAAATGATACAATGCTCTAGAGGTGTTCGAGGAGACGCACTGCTGGTGCAAATGATCAAGCTTCAGCGCATAACGAGCAGGGTCACTGATGTTCGTATACAACTAAGAGATACCGACAGCGAACAAAGTACGCGTCTTATCCATCCATACATATTTTCTCTCAACACTCAATTATCCGAGACGAGAAAGCAATTACCCCCGCACTTGGCCACGAATAGTACGTCTAATCTGCCACTCCTGATTCGACTGCATAACAGCCCTCACTGATACTCCATAGAGATACTGGAAGTGATGTCCCTGCACGCAGGAATCTGCATCAATGACCTTATCTTTACGCGCCTTGGGCATTGCCCTCTTCTAGATGATATCAGCAGCATGGAGGCCCTTCTTAAGTGCCTCAATGCAGCGAAGCGCGCCGTGGACATCATGTTCAACTTCAAACCAACCGAATATACATACTTCCCCTTTTTTCTGTGGAGGCAATTCCGAACCGTAATTTTGACCCTCATTCGACTCGCATCCTTCGAAGATCCGGCGTGGGACGTGAACATGGTTCGACGCACTGTAGACATTACGTCTATTCTTGACACGACTGCCGAGAACCTAAGCAATGTACAAACCAACGTTGATGATGGCATTACTGACCACGAAAACGTGGTTTCGAAATCACTGGCCTGGGTGAAAAGAATGAGGTCTTGCTTACTCGCAATTTATGGCCAGTCAACAGATGCCCAGGCCCCAACCTCTAATATGCAGAGCTCAATGGGCATACCAGGTATGGAAACGTTGCTACCCAGGCAGCCATCCCAGGAAGAAGCTTCAACCATAGACATATTCTCATCACTCGATAATGAACTCTTTGGAGACGATATTTTGGAGTGGTGGCCACCCTTATATTCGGGGAATGGGCTATAAATCTTGCTTATAGAAAGCATTTGATGTATAAATTTATATGCTTTATTATACAATACTTTCCCTTCCTTCTTCTATTCTTGTCCACCAAGTACCCCCTCTCACCAACTCTGTTAGCCTATTTTACCTCAGCATAAACATCCAACGCATCGTGCAACCTCCCAAAAACACCTCCATGCCACCCCCTCAACTGCTCCCACTCCGTCGACGGCAACGTAACCCTCGACATCCTCAACCACCCACCCACAATAAAGTCGGCATGGCTAGGCCTCTGCCCCAGCAAAAACGGCCCACTAGTGTCCCTCTCAAACATCTTCGCCAAGTCCCCCAGCATATCCCGGAACGAACTCAACACCTGCTCCCTCTTCTCCCCGTCAAGAGCAAAATCATCCCATGACTTAAACCCCGCCCGCCGAACAAACTCCGCCTTACTCTCCTCCGCCGTCTCCGGATCAAACGGCATCTTCTGCACCATCAATAATGTATGCACGCTGAACGCCGCGTCAACATTATTGTTGAACCTTGCGTAATCCGCATACTCGGTATCATTCCGCTCCGATAGCGGTACCAGCACCTTCAGCTCCTCCTTCAGTTCATAGTCCAGGTTCTGCGGAGGGAAGAGATCCCCGTCACCAGAAGCGGGGTAGGTCTTTTGTAGGTAGACGGCGATGTCGAAAGAGTCGCCGATGAGGGAGTTTGTGGTAGGGTCGGAGAGGATGGGGAGGGTGTAGAAGTCGCTACCGTCGGCGAATTTGCGACATGCGGGGAGGTTCAGGCTGCGGCGGACTTTGGATACTTCGGGGAGCTTGACCCATGTTGTGGAGTAGGGGGCGTTCTTGAAGTTCAGGGCCAGGCGCGCTTTCCAGGGGTTTACGGCTGCTGCGTTCCCCGTTACTGGAGGCCGCATGGCGATGTCGTAGTAGGTCATTGTTGGGGTGGGGTTGGAGGTGGTGGTTGTGGTTGCCATTGTGGATGGTGCGGAGGTCATGCAATAATTGAGGGTTATACTTGGTGAAATTTGTGTGTATGAGGCTGATCGATTGGGAGGTTAGGTAGTATAATGTGCAATTGAGCTCTTGAATGGGAATTTCAGGTGATGTTCATGAGGATTGAGGTTGAGTTATATAGCTGGGCCTGCAGGGTAACGTCACGTGGAATGGGAAGCTCGGGTAGGGCAGAATCCCCGAATCTGGAGATCCTCAGGTAAGAGATCTGTGTTAAAGTGTAAAATTTTGAGTCTTTCCATGGCTAATTCTGGAAACTGCAAGCAGTTTGGGCCCAGGAGTGGGCTGTGCTATGATCATGATTTGGTGTGTTCATCTCGACTCAGAATGACTCATGCCCACTCATGCTGGCCAAGTGGGTCCGTGTGGGGTACCGTCCCCACTCCCTGATTGATCTGGAGATTTGAGAGGCATACGGATTTCTTCAACGTCATAGAGTCCAGAAATCTCCTTTTTATGCTGCATTGGGTGTGCTTATGCAGCAGACATTTCAGAGTCTAAACGAAGCTTTTCATCGCATGAACTATACATGGGAATTTGCTCTACTCTTCTGTATCCCGCCCGTTGGTAGATTCTTAGGAATGAAATTGCTCTGGTACTGCTAACTCTTCAATATCATAGATCTAAGAACCCGGTTTCAGCTGTGAGGAACAATTATCAAATGACAGCGACCAGGTGCTTCGGCCCTTTTGAGAACTACAGAGTCTCAAGTATTCTTCGCACACCGGCAAAATCAAGTTCATCCATCGTCTCCTGCCACAGCTGCTCAATAGATTGCTTCCCCTCGGGCGTATACAACGACGCATTAAACCTGTACATACGTGGGTCAGTCATGATGTCAGAAATCCAAAAGAAGTAGGCAATACATACGGCTCAATCTTCCAACTCATCAGAAAGCATCCATGCGACTCCTTCCCTTTTAGTACAGCAGCATCAACATACGTCGATGCACCAACCTTGACTGTCCTTCCTGTCAATGCTCCAAATACCGCCAACCCAGCCTTCGCATAAGCAGGCGAATCCCGCCCCAGGTCGGTGCCTTTCACGAAGGCTGGATCTGCTAGGTTAACAATCACATCATCTGCGGCGACATATTCAGCCAGCTTATAGAGAAACGCATGAGCTAGAAGTTTTGACATGCAGTAACTGCTATTGACGTCAAATGTATCTCGGCGATCGAACAACTTCAGAAGTGGCGCATCCTTCACGTCGGGTAAGCTTGGCAGAAGCGATAATGCCGCACTGACGATAGTCAATCGGCCCGACACTCCCCTCGGAGATTTCTTCTTCAAGCTGGGAAGAAGTAGAATGGCTAAGAACATGGTTGAGAGATAGTTGACTTGGATTGTTTCCTCGTGGCCGGTGTTCGGATTGGTGGTGAACTGGGCTTGTCTCACCCCAGCATTGAGTATAGCAATATCTAGGCGGGGAAGATGGTTTTCGACCCGCTTTGCAAAGCTTTGTATGGAGGCATATGAGCTCATGTCAAGTGGCCATACATCTAATGTTGACGTGGGATTAACGGCTCGAAGCTTAGCTGCTGCGGCTTCCCCCTTTTCGGGAGAGCGAACGGCGAGGATCAAGTGGCTCAGTTGAAGGGATAGAAGCTGGGATGCACACTCATATCCCAGTCCACTGTTTCCTCCAGTGATTATGGCAACTTGACCAGAGAGGTTTGTGGTTGCGGGTGGCCAGTTGGGCTTGGCACAGAATTGGTTATAAAAGAACACATTGGGGAAGAAGGGAGCGGTCGATGGGGGAAGGTCCCTTGAGGCCATTGTGGGTGAAATAGGAGTTTTTAAGCGAAACTGCAGATGCTCAAATAAAAAGTATTATCTTTGAAGTAGCCTGTCTAGTTCTCTTAATACCAGTTCCTCATGATCCTATATATCACGGTTATCAGCCACTAAGCCTAAAGCGGCACCCAATGTCCGCGGACTTAAGCCGGGTGTTTGGCGCGGTCCATCCATTCTGAACCTTTTGTCTGTGCTGGAGATATGCCATCCCCGCGTATATCATATTTGACATATCGCGTCTTAACTCCGATCCCGATAATATTATGTCGAGGCATACGCTGTAGCCAGGGATCATCTGATCCTTAGCCACCTCTGTATGCGTGGTCCTCGATCACCACTACCTCTTACTTTTCATCCGACCATCATCATTAGATTCTACAGATCAAATATATATATCTGAATCCGTCCCTACCCATTTTGTTGAAAGAAACAGCCAAAGACAAGCTTAGGCCTCATTGACGTTGATTCGCCGCTGCCTTGGGAGCTTTCAACAAAGTATGGTAATCGATATCGCTGTTAAAGCTGGTGAGCCCGGAGCCATCATGGGAAGCCGAAGGGTCCTTCCTGGAGAGACCAAACCACGTTAGCAACCCCGTGATGGTCGCTTGCGGAATGGACGGTAGTCTGATTTGACGTGTCTGGGTTTTGTTTTCCTCCGCTGGTGACCCCTCTGCTGTGCCACTCGACGAACCCAACACGGCGTCCTTGATCCGGGTGAAGTATTTCTTGAACGCAGTTGAAACCTCGTTGGATCCGATCAAAGTGGACCGATAGACGGTGATGGATCCCATGGTAACTCCAATGCATCCCTCCAGATGAAGCCAGAATACCTGCCATGGGTAGTCGAGAAGTCCGTGGTACCACGTGCCTGCGGTGCGAATAATGGAGCATGTGCACATGAAGATCGAGAGACACAGGAAGCATCCAAGACCTAATTTCGTCAAGGTTCGTAACTGTACTTTGTAGAGCAATCGCATTGGAATACTAATGACTAGGAAAAGTTAGTTATAGCTAATCCTCATCTGGCTAAGTGACATACTCATCAGGTCAGTGAGCGCATCCAAAATCGGTGGAAGCCAGACCATTGCGAGGACCGTGCTGTTCGGCACAGGTAAAGAGGGGAAGCATTTTGCTTTAAACGGTTAGTGTGAGAGATTATCGCTGGCGAGGGATCCTTACAGATTGCCTTCATTCCTGTATACGGACAAGGAACGATCGGTGCGACAAAGGCGCTCAAGATCCACGAAATAAAGGATAGCCCCACAGTGCAACGGTAATAAAGGATAAACCAGCGTGACATCCCCACCAGGAGAGGGTGGAAGAATGCCAGGTAGCACCACTTGACGGCAAAGACTGTGGTCCAGAGAAGGACTATAAAGGCGATATTAAAGCCATAATCTTTCGCATGTTCTTCTAAATGTGAGGCGAGAAAGAGAAGTGCGTCAACATTTCCTTCCAATGCTGCCATCTGAAAGTAGATGGTGTATGCACGGAGAAAGCCCAGTACCGTTCCTATCAGCAGCGTGGTAAAAGCAAAGCTAAGGAATGCATCGTCCAAATAGAGGCGTCGTCGGGTAAAGAGTCGGATGAAGATGCGGCCAAGAAACGACAGTGCTGCCAACGCGAAGAAAATGCCAACGGCTATCTGGTATTCATACATATTGAGTTAGAGTGATACCTTCGGATAATTATGCTTGAAATAGCCTTACCCCATATTGCCGCTGGGTAATCCGACCGATATCACCTATGACCGGCGGGGTCTGAGAATCTTGACTTGACGTGAGATTCCGTGAGGAGATGTCCATACTTAAGCTTTCCCAAATGACTTGGGCATATCATATACAGGTGTACATGCAGTTCCTGATTCAACTCTCCGATGGGAACACCACTTTATGTATAGCTGGGCTGTCAGACCCTGTCGTTGCACGAGTGTCCGGGTTGGATGTGCGGGGTCTTGAGCGGCTCACTGGATTTCCTCCTACATACTCCATGCTGACTGCATTTTATCGACCTCACGAGGATGATAATGCCTCCCAAAAGAAGCAAGGGGCTCAAGGGTTGCCTTGAGATTCTCAGTTCCCTTTCGAAGACTCAGCCTCAATTCCCAGCGCTTTGGACTTAGAAAGTGCGATGTTGAGATTGATATTTTTTCTCTTCCCTTTTCCACGCGTGTTTAGCAATAGCCATCTAGCTCTGCCTCTCAAAGACGCTTGTCATCAGTGGGTGGGAACCGATATCCCTTCCAAGTCTCACTAGCGTCACCCCTGTCTTGAGTGTCCTGGTTACGATGAAGACCATGGCTGTTTCCTATGTCATTACTATATGAATAGCTGACGCAGATACCAGGAGGTGTCTCTTCCCTTCATGTGCAAATAATCAATATACCTTCCACGATGAGCTATATGCACTCTGTTCGCTGGCATGTCACTCTTGAGACTAAGTAGCATCGCTCTGAGGTTACGGAGTATCCGTCATGTCTCTGAGCGACAGCGTCAGGAGTGCGGAAAGTGCTCTGTTAACATTGCACACGCCATTATCCAGCTTATTTTACCAATATGGCACCTTCACGATTGCCATAGCCTTCATGTACTACGCGACATCTCCCCTTTAACGCACCAAGCTGAGATGCTGAGGCGCTGAGCAGTAAGGCCGAGAAACTGCGGCCGTGCTCTGGTATGATACAAGCAAGGGATAATGCAGTTAGACCACTGACAAGTTGATAATTACATCATCTTCACCATCAGTATGGACACACTGCGCGTTCGAGCAGACCAACGGTGATTGTAACTTATGCTATCCGGATATCATTCCAAACACAGCCTCTGGCTTACGCATGGATATCCTTCCGCATATGCTTGTATAGCAGTTGAGGCTTCACAGAATGCTATTATAAGCATTGTTGAGGTGTGCTGCACACAGAACCAGCGATTGAGGCTGGGAAATGTTGGTGTTACACTATTACCCTTTTAGGCAACTGCCCGCCTAATCTCACCGCCTCCTGCCTATGATTCCCTTAACTCTTCCCCCACTAAACCGCTCCCTCCGATTGCCTATTCATGGTGGAAGCGAGGGACATCAAGTCTACACCAATGACTTTCATCAACATTATTCTGACCATTTGCCTACCGTTTGTAAGCCTCGCCGCGTATGGACTCCATGCGCTCTACCAACACCGTTCCAAAATCAACCGCCTCCGCAAACAAGGAGTGGTAAGCTTAATCTTACCTACGAAGCTTACTATATCACTAACACCATGTTTAGCGCATGCCAGCAGGATGGAGCTGGCTAACTGGCCACATGCTGGTTCTTTCGGACTATGTTAATAGTCTACCTGACGATGCCAACGTTGTGCTTGCGACGCAAGAGTTGGCGTCGGAATTTACTGACACGGAGATCTTTCTATTGGATGTGTGGCCTATGTCCCCCGCACAGTATATAGTCTTCTACCCCGAAGCGGCATCACAGGCGACAAATAAATTCAACCTCCCCAAAACAGTCATACAGCCTCGATTCATGCAACCGATTACTGGCGGGCCTAGTATGATCTCTATGGGAAATGCTGAGTGGAAGGCCTGGAGATCAATCTTTAATCCGGGATTCAGTGCTGGCAGCATGCAGGATCTCCTTCCCGAAGTTGTCAAGTCAGTTGGTGTCTTTTGTGATAAGTTGCACGAGAAAGCCAATGCTGGGAAATTTTTCGCCTTAGATGACCTGACCACCAGATTAACCATGGATGTCATTCTCAAAGTGACGCTGTTGGTTTACCCTTCCCCCCATTGTATGGCAAATGTTAACGAGGAGATTAGCGACGCGGACCTTGATCATCAGAATTCCGACAATATCATTGCAACTGCTCTTGGCCACATTACCAAATGGCATTCTTTTTGGGACCCTCGCATACGAGCACACCCACTTCGGCCTATTGTTCAGGGATATTACGGTCGCGTTGTGAACAAATGCATTCGTAAAGCCCTGCATGAGCGATTCTCCGAGATGAAGCAAGCCAAACGGGATGATTTGTCTCGTTCTAAGCGAGCCAAATCCATCCTTACTCTAGCCTTGGAAGCATATCTAGAGAGTAAAAACGAAGGAATCACTAACGCTACACAGTTAGATGACCGCTTTGCAGAATATGTGACTTATCAGATTCGATTGTTCCTCTTTGCCGGAACCGATACCACTTCGAGCAGTATCGCTTACGTGTATCACATGTTATCTAAGCACCCTGAGGCTTTGGCTCGAGTGCGGCAAGAACATGACCGCATATTTGGGCCAGATCCTTCAGCTGCGGTGCAGCTACTCCGCGAACAACCCTCCTTGCTCAATCAATGCTCATATACAATGGCAGTTATCAAAGAGACCCTTCGGCTCTATTCCCCCGCAGGCACTATGCGTCAAGGCGCAGATGGTTTGTCACTTACCGACAGACACGGCAATCAATACCCCTTAGCAGATGATATCAGCGTCACCATCTTACACCAGGCGACTCATCTCAACCCAAGGGTATGGCCACGAGCTAGAGAATTTATCCCAGAGCGGTGGCTCGTTGATACAGGCCACGAACTTTACCCCGACCCGGCAGCCTATCGTCCGTTTGAGCAGGGACCGCGCAACTGCATTGGCCAGACTCTTGTCTACAACGAGATGCGGACAGTCTTGGTGATGACCGCCCGGACATTTGAAATCAAGCCAGCCTACGATGAATTGGATGCGATGAAGGCGAAACAGAGGGGCTGGTTTGATCACATTGCTGAGTCTGTAGGCTTTCAGAACAAGAAGCCTAAGATGCTGCACGACGAAAGGGCATATCAGTCTGAGAAAGCTGGCACTCATCCAGTAGATGGTTATCCGTGCCGTGTAACGTTGGTGACTTAAATCCGAAAGAGACAATGTATTAATTTTCCTGCAGCCGAAAAGGTGATAGCTTGGGGCCTTTTCTCAAAAGTTGTAGCATTAGCCACACGCAGCCACATTATTAGATTGCATTCAAGAAGACTTCAGAGCTAATATGCTCGGTGTCAAATGAGACGTAACAATTAAGCGCCCCAATAGTTGTTGTGCCAAGATATAGATTGGACGCAGGCAAAGTAGAACGTAATATTTACTCTAAATCCTCGGTAGTATATGCAGCTTGCTCTACCACTAGTGCCGGGCTCTATTGTAACCCAATTACATCTCCCAAATACCCCATGCAAACAACTTTCTCTACCATGGCGTGATCGGGCATTATTAATCTACCGATTTATAATCACAGCCAATAATCCCTGCAAGAATAACAGATGGAATGATACTTATGTCGTACCCAGCGTAGGTCTTCGCAAATAGCGAGATTGGTATATGAATAGTGTTCCATCATTCTTCTCACGCGCGAATAGATTCAAGAAACCGATGAACGAATCCGAATCGCACCCTTCCCTACCCTCCATCGCCCCCAAGAACCCTAACAACAACCATGCCCACCACCCAAACCCCCATCGACAACCCTCCCGCACAAGGAATCTCCTACTACACACCAGCACAAACCCCACCAGCAGGAACCCAGCTAGAGGGCACAACCAAGCTCTTCAACCCCCTGACCATCCGATCCCTCACCCTTCCCAACCGCCTCTTCCTCGCCCCTCTCTGCCAATACTCCGCAAAAGATGGCTACGCCACCGACTGGCACCTAACCCATCTAGGCGGAATCCTACAACGCGGCCCCGGACTCGCAATCATGGAATCAACGGCAGTGCAGAAAATAGGCCGAATCACGCCCCAAGACCTTGGCCTCTACGAAGACGGGCAGATCGAGCCTCTGAGACGAATCACTGAATTCGCCCACAGCCAGAGCCAGAAGATAGCTATCCAGCTAGCGCATGCAGGCCGCAAGGCTAGCGCTGTTGCTCCGTGGTTGAGCGTCAATGCCATGGCTGTGAGGGAGGTTGGTGGATGGCCGGATGAGATTGTTGGGCCTTCGGCGATTGCGCATGAAGAGGGGGTAAATACGGTTCCGAAGGCTTTGAGTGAGGCGGAGGTTGAGGAGCTGGTTAAGGACTTTGCAGGGGCCGCGAAACGGGCTGTCAGAGCGGGGTTTGATGCGATTGAGGTCCATGCAGCGCATGGGTACCTCCTGCATCAGTTTCTGAGTCCTGTGAGTAATCACCGAACGGATCGGTATGGAGGGAGCTTTGAGAATAGGATCAGGCTGTTGCTGGAGGTGTGCGACGCTATCAGGGATGCAATCCCGGATACAATGCCTCTTCTTGTGCGTATCAGTGCGACGGACTGGTTTGAGATTGATGAGAGGTTGAAGAAGGAATTCCCGGAGAGTTGGACGGTTGAGCAATCTGTTCGGCTCGCTCCTATATTGGCTGATCATGGGGTTGATTTGGTGGATGTCAGCTCGGGTGGGATTCATTCCAAGTCTGCCATCGCTATCAGGTCTGGTCCTGCTTATCAGGTGCATTTGGCGCATGAGGTTAAGAAAGCAGTTGGTGACAGGCTGCTGGTCACCGCTGTTGGAGGAATCAAGACGGGCAAGCTTGCTGAAGAGGTTGTGCAATCTGGTATCGATGCTGTACTGGCTGGTCGCTGGTTCCAGCAGAACCCTGGGCTTGTTCGTGCCTTTGCGAATGAGTTGGGGGTGAAGGTGAGGATGGCGACGCAGATTGACTGGAGCTTTGAAGGTCGTGGCAAGGGAAGAAAGAACGGGTCTTTATAGAGTGTTTGTATAAAGTCATTACTGCGTCGTGGAACAAACGGGGGCCTTTGTAGATTTAATTGCATGGGGATTTTGTGACAAGTATGTCATCGATGAAGGGCATTC